ACACACACATATATATATATGTATGTATATATATATATATATAATTCTATATATATGTATATATATTTACATACATATGCATACATATATATATATATATTGATTATATATATATATGTATCAATTGCGGGCTAATGATTCGACGCAGACGGCTTTGTTTGTATGCAACTGTTTATAGTTATAATGGTCTGGTACCCACGAGCAATAGTAATTCTTATCATTGACACAGGTGTATGAGCCGCACACAACTAGTTTAGTTCGCAGGAGTGAGACGAAGTCTCTCTCGCACAGAAATGTCGTCGCTGTATTCCCTTATATCCATATCTATAGTACTCTTTATATTATATACCAAGCGAATAGATTGGTCAATTATCTTGTCTCAACCAGCTTGCGTCAGTGAATAGTATTTCCAACCACCCATCTCTCTGCCAATCCACTTACCCGATCTCAGGTTGGCAGCGTGAAGAAACGTATTGGTATGTCACCCGGCAACGCGCGAGAGCCTAACCCGTCCATGTACCGAACTTCTAACACCTTCGCGCGACACACCCCACGTGCCTCTCCGTCTGTGTTCCAACACCCTGCGCCAGTTCACAGGAGCACACACTATGCACAGCGCACCCACAGTATAAGTCCCGGCCCCCCTACACACATACAGACCCACAATCATGCAGATGGGCAGAGACACACCGGTGTACCGGCGGTGGGTAGAGGTCAGGGTATAGGTGGTGTGGGTGGGCATAACGGCGGTAGTCATTATAGCAACGGTGGCTCGCCACTGCCGCATATGGGTGGGTACAGTCCGGGACTTTATGCCGAGGGACACAGGGACAGAGTGGACCCCGATAGTCAGAGTGGGGCGGAGAACAGTAGGAAGGCAGTCAAGCTGACACCTAGGGGAACCAATGTGTATGTGATGCACTCTACGGCGAACTCAAGCTCAAACACGCCTGTCGAACGGAGTGGCGGGTATACACAGACACCCACCAGCGCACACGCATACGCCGGTACAACAACGTACAGACACCCCACTTCACACACACAGGCCCACCGCAGGAGTGTAGGCGAGGGTTCCGACTATGGGTCGGTGGGGCGAGCGAGTGGGGGTAACCATGGCAACCAGCACGGGGCTAATGGTGGCGGTAGCCATGCCCATCGGAGCACGGATGATACTGAGCACGATCCCGAGCACGAGCGTGAGGGTGGACGGGACAGCGAACACGAAGCTGATGTGCTGTATACACTCGGGGCAATGGAGGAAAACACCAATGTCTTGGGTGCGCGACCGGTGTTGGATACAGAGAGAGAGGTAGATATTACATTCTTGGGGGCCTCCAGTAGTGTGGGTGTCAGTGCAAGCATGCATATCGAGCGAGTAGCAGTGCCCGTGTGGGGCGGGGTGGGTGTGGACAGTGTGGAGAGTGTGACGGCGGCTGTTGCGGAGAGTACCATGGAGGCGGTAGTACGAGATAGTACGGTAGAGATTGGGTATGCAAGTACCAGCCCGGTGATGGAGAGTAGTCGACACTTAGAAGAGACAGAGGCGAGCGCGGGGCAAAGTTCTTCCATGCCTGATATATCGAGAGATGGGGGTTCACATACTCATGTAGTACACACGAGCCACAGCGAGACGATGGTTGTGGAGGAGAGTAGCGATGGAGAAGGGAGCGTATCAATGTATGACGGTGTTCCGATGGCTCCGGCCAGCCCACCGTCGGGTAAGCGACTAAGTGTAACGGAAAGCGGTGCGGGTGAACCCGAGGGACCGAGTACCGGTGGTACTGACGGAAGCAGTAAGACAAGCGAGAGAGGAGAAGGGGAGGGGGTAGGTACATGTACAGGGGACGTCAGTGACGACACACGTTTGGGGGGTATGGCCACACGGCAGGGTGATGTATCAGACGGGGGAGCGCAACAGACACGGAATGGGGGGCAGCCAAGCACGCTAGAGCACAAGAACTATCTGAATGCCCAGGGCGTTCACGACGGGACGCGACACTCGCCGAGGCTATTGCGGGGGCCGAGGGAGGGTCAGGCACGGGGGGCAAAGGACACACACACGAGTCCCTTGTTAGGGGCCAAAAGCACACCCGAAAGCCCTCGATTAACCGCCAAGAACGCCCCCAAAAGTCCTCGATTAATCGCCAAGAACACACCCAAAAACCCTCGATTGATCGCCAAAAACACACCGAAAAGCCCTCGAGTAGCTGCCAAAAACACACCCAAAAGCCCGCGATTAATCGCCAAAAACACTCCCATAAGCCCCCGATTAATCGCCAAAAACACTCCCAAAAGCCCCCGATTAGCTGCCAAAACACACCCAAAAGTCCTCGATTAACCACCAAAACCACACCCAAAGACCCTCGATTGACCGCCAAAAACACACCCAAAGGCCCTACAGTACCTGCTAAAAACACACAATCGATCTCCTTAGCCGTCACGAGGAATACACCCAAACCCTCAGCACTCCAACGGAAGTCACCCCGGAAGACACCAAGGT